CCAAAAAAAAGGATTGTATTTTTATTTTAAATTTATCTCAAATTATATATATTTTTTAAATATAAAAATATTTTTTTAACATTATCATTATTCATTTCTCTTAATTAATTACCTAATTAAAAATCAAATACAAATATTATTTTTAAATCTTTAATTTGAAAAAAAAAATAAAAATTGACAATTATTTTTGAATGAAAAGAGTAGTATTGCTAAAAAGTAGAAATTAAAGATAGGAGTTGAAGATTCTTAAAAATGTTTTTCAATCTACATAAATGAAAAGAAAGTATAAGAATATCTAGAAAAATATTTAAATAACATTACAGTCTATTTGTTTCGAAGGAAATAGGATGAAGGAGTGGGGAGGGGAGGGGAGAGGAAATTATTATAAACCAATGATTTAATTTAAATGGTCAAAATAAGGTTACATTTCCTCTCCTCTTCTCAATTCACAAATAAGATTAATGAATCTTCTTTTTGTATTGATTTATTAAAGGCATTTAATTAATTTTATAGATATTTTATATATTTTTTTCTTATAGGTTGGCTTAAAAATTGTCAACAATATCTTATGTTAAACCCTCAAATTTATCTCGCATTATTGATTAAATCCCTAAATTTTATTAAAATAAATAAACTCTTAAACTTATTAATTTAGGTAATTTTAACTCTCTTTTTTATGATAAACTTAATGTCGGTTTATGTTTTATTTGCATGGATAAGGTGTTTTATTTACATAGATAAGGTCAATACTTATCATATAAGTATTGATATATCAATATATTATCCATGCAAGTAATATATAAATGAGTGTTAAGTCTGTTATAAAGAAGAGGGGTTAAATTGCTTAGATCATCTAGTTTAGAGGTTTATTTACTTTAATGAAAATTTAGGATAAGTTTAGGGACATAATGTAAGGCTTTTACAAAATTGAATAGTGAAAAATGATTTAAGAATAATTTTTTAATTATTTTTTTACATAATTTTAAGTGTTATTTAAATAATTATTTGAATCTGGTCTTGTGGGGCTAAGTGGTTTCGACCACTCTTGTAAGGTTTATACTCCCTCTCTAAGGGCAACGGTTCGCGTCGACCTCATAACAAAATGTTTAAAAAAAATTATTTATTTATTTATTTAAAATTCATGATATTAATTACACTTATTAAGCCCCTCTTTGGATTGATAGATTTGGAGGAGGAGTGGGAGAAAGGAAGGAGTAGATGTCTCGCTCACTCTATTTATTTTTCTTCATTAATGGGGAGGAAGTAGGGATGTCAACGGGTCCCATGGGGTCGGAGTCCCTCCCCGTCCCCATCCTGCGAACGGTGGGGACGAGGATTTCTACGGGGATTTTTGACGGGGGTAGATTTTGCCCCCGTCATCGTTCCCCACCAATTAATATTAAATTATAAATTTTTTTGTCTTTTACATATAATTAATTAATATT